GGCACGGGGGCTGAGCTGGTGCTGAGGGTGCTGCTGCAGCCCCGCTTGGCACTCACAACACCATTAATTCATCCCTCTCGTGTATGAGAACGCCAGGCAATTTCCTGTTCGTCGCGTGGAGTTTCAAGTTCTCCAAAATCTTTGGTGGGGCAGAAAGAAAAATGGGTCCCAGCCCCTCCTGCGCAGCCACCAGCGCAGGCACCGCTCCGGGCTGCGCAGCAGGACCTGGGAGAAACATCTCCCTTGGGGAGACTCCTCCAGGAGCCTGCAAAATCGTTTCCCAGCCTAACTGTCTTGGAGTGGATGCTTTCTTATCGGGGTTTGATTAGTTTTAGGAAAGTCTGATCTTACCTGAGCTGGGACAGGGCTGAGTCAAGCAGTCAGCACCCCAGTTCTGTGCAAAGCTCAGTACCAGCTATGGGGTCCCGATGCGTGAGACGGGACTCGCCCAAGAGAGGAGTTAAGCCCGTGGGTGCTGGGAAGCGGTCTCTGCCGGGACAGCAGCCAGGATGATCTGACGGCGAACGTCTCCCTCCCATCCTGGGGAGGAAAGCGAGCCGGTCATCCTTCCTGCGAAACAGCCCAGATTCCAGGAACGGGGTCCTGCCGGGGGTCAGCCCTGGAGACATCCCTTCCCACCGCCCTGCCGCGGCTGGGCTGCTGCCAGGGCGCTCTGGGGTTCCCCGCTGCACCCTGACGCGCTCCAGCCTCTCTCAAAAGGAAGGAAAGGGCGAGCCCCAACCCTCCGCGGGGCGCGATCGCAGCCGGCCGAGGTGCTCGAGCCGCTACCCCTCCGAAGACCTCCCGCCGGAGCTCCAAAGGACAGACCAACTCACCACAGCAGTGAGCGGCCAGCGGCCCCTCCCCACGCTGCCAGGATGGACACCACCAAGGAGCCTGAGATCGAGCTGTTCGTGAAGGTGGGTCTCGGGGGGGACAGTTGCTCTTTGGGGTTTTCCTGCAGGCTCATCCTCCCCGGGGTCCAGCTGGGCGTAGGCAGTGGAGATTCGCGGGTGTCTTCACGTTCTGGGAGCCTGGAGGTGGGCACCAAGTTTGGGATCGCTCACCTCGAAGGCTGGCTGAGCGGGTGCCCAGAGGAGGGGCCCAGGCGTGCGGTGGCGCGGGGACCGGTGAGGTGTCACGCCCAGCATCCCAGAAGATGCCCTGGTCTGGCGGTGGCCGTGTGTTCTGGGGAACAGCGCAGCTGGCAGCTGGCGTAACGAAGGAGCGGGCACACACACGCCTCTCGAAACCCAGATAAGACAAGCCCCAGCCTGGGAACAGCAAGCGGGAGGGCCGAGAGCAG